TTGGAACACCAATTTTGGGTTTTGCTTTGCTTGACCTTGTTTAAAACCAAAGGTCATGAATCATGACCTGTGGATCTCAAATACTGACACAAACGAATTAAGATAACGACTATCCCACACTGTAAGATCGCTTTCTCTAGCTCTCTTAGTTTTTGAGATCGCGGGTGGCAAATTGCCCCACACCCAAGCGAAGGATATCCAACAAGCCCTGCGGGCGTGAGTAGCGGCCTTTTTGAAGAAGATTGATCAAGCAATTTCCGCTTAAAAAATCAGTGAGGAGCTCAGTTTTTGGCCTGCTCGTGCAGGCGCCGGCCCAGTTACACAGTCGTTCTGTCGCTGGCAGGGTGAGATCAGGGCAGAGCGTGCTCGGCGGTGCGGCGATCTGACTGCCGGCGCTCAGACAGGCGCGCCCGGAGAGGCTGCTGCGGGCCCGGCGGCGTCTCAGAGACGACAAAAACAGAGCCACCCACCTCGCCCCAACGGGCGCCGGCCCCGATCAATACACCTCCACCGCGAGGTATGACGGCCCGTTCAGACGGCGCATCAAAAGGAGAGCACTCAGAGACGGCGGTCCATTGTGGCATGCGCCGCGCGCAACACGCACAGGGGCGTCGGCGACGGGCCGCCGACGGCCGGCCGACACTGGGCGGCGATGCGACGCTGGCCTTCTGCAGCCGGCGGCAGTGAAGCGTGGAGGGGGGGGGGGGGGGGTTTCACCGTCTGCTGGTCCACGCTGCTGACGGGCGCGAGCAAGGCCATTGTGTCACTCAGGTACCAGAACTGGTGTAAAGTTATAGCTGGAAGACAGAGCTGCTTCTCGCGTCGCCCTTTGGGAAAAGTACCGTATCATTTCGGCATTGGAACGTGTGCTCTTGATGTTCTGATTCCGGCTGTTTAACGGTGCAGAGCTGTACAAAAGGCTGAGCTGATGTGATTAAGACGAGTTATTTTTTCAACGATGCTCACCGAATTGATAGAAAGATCGGCTATCGTGATATTGCAATGCTATTGGACTTGCAACCGACCTAGCATGAACCGAACGTAACTTGTCGGCGTCATCATCTGATCCAATTTATGGCATTAACTGCCACGGCACGGATCGATCAATCTCATTTACACGCGATCCTGCGTGCAGTCACGAAGGGTAAAGATCAGCTCGTGCTATATGGATATTCTCACGCCTCAGCTGATCAGCAGCCGAAAGACGCATCATTTTCCTCGAATAACATGCCTGCCAGCACGTGCTTTAAGCATTGCATGCAAACGATAGCTGATCTCAGGCTGATTATCGGAACATTCAATATCCAGTAAGTGTGACGTAAATGACCGATTGGTTTGAAGCGTTGTCCTCGAAGTCGACAGACCAGTGCGCAAATCTCACTGTCGGGAATATTTCCTGGCTCCTGCTTTCACTAGGTTGTGGTGACGGAAAACCGCAACGAATGTAGCGGTGATTATGCTGTCAGAAAGCAAGCATCACTTATTATCGTGTGGCTCGCATCATATCATATAATTTATTGGCATGGATATCACTGTGCTCAGATAGTGTTATGGTCACCTTATGAACACGCAAAATGTTTTGCAATTCTTGATTTTGTCCGGTACAAGATCCAGTTGCCAGTAATTTGGCCATGAAAACTGTCATTTATACGTTGCAAGCAACAAGCAACGTTCTTAACAACGTTCTTAACAGCGCTTCGTTGTGTGTTGGGGCACGTTGTGTGGCGAGCCCGCTCCTAAACAGGTACTCAGGGTTAAACTTTCAGGAACATACTACACACTGTATCTATGACGATTTGTTTCCAACTTGTACAATGTCTGAGACGATAAACGCCCTCTGCTTATGTCCAACGTCATGTAGCGCAACCGTCCTAAAAGATCACACGTTATTTTCTACAACATGCCTGAACGCCAGGCCTTGAGCTAGAGAACGGGATGTTGTAGGTCCTTATTGTTCTCGCCTTTTGCAGATATTCCGCTGCTATTGAAAAATTCACCCAAAATCAGATTGTCCAGCAATTTTTAGTTGGTTTTAGCAAATAGTTACTACCTACAAACCATAGCCCCAGTCACTCTCGCGTCACCGCACTTCCTCACTCGAATCGAATAAAAAGAGAGAAGGCGATCGTGGGAAGTAATGTACATCTGCCCTACAACTTCAAATTTGACTTTCGAAATTTTTGAAACTGCACAAACTAGCACATTTTCTGTACCTCCTCTGTTAACTACGTGACAGGGATGCGCGGGACCTGGAGGGGACGTGGCCAGGTGGAGCACGGGGTCGATCCGAGCAAGATCCGAGCGCCGATCCGGGCAACATATCCGTCCGATGGCAAATCCTTCCCCAGGAACACCGTCAGAAGCAAGGCTCGCTCGGCCGGCGCGTGCCTCGCCGATCGGCTCACGGTGCTGCGAGCGCCGCCGCCGCTGGCGCTGAGGTCGGCTGACCATCGCCGTGACCGGACGCTCGGGCTTTGCCAGGTCATGACCAAAACGGTGACGGATAATGGAGAGGCTTTGTTTCCTCTATTACTCAAGATCTTGTTCTCTACCTAGCATATCTAACCCTGCCAGTTTCCACTGCTGTTGCTGTTTAAGAAAAGCAGGACGTCGTGGGGTATTTAGCTCATTCTCAGCAGTGTGTGTGCTAGCACATTTAAAGCCAGTGCTCGAGTAGGCTTGAAGCCGTTCGCGACCGAGCAGGCTTCGCACATTCCTGATTTGTCATAATTTCAGAGCGTAGACACTGGGGTTCTAAAGTCAGCGACGTGACAGGGCAGGACGGTGAGATGTCCAGGCTAGATGGAAAAAGGCCTGGACCTGAGCTACCCCAGGTTTCATTGTAATGCACCCAATGATCTGGGAGCCACCACCGTGGCTTGCACAACCGTTGCTATGACAGCGATTGTCAACACTCAAACGTAAATAAGTATACACAAAGGTAATATATCCGTGTTAAAGTTCAGAAGCATCGTGAGGCCCTATCTCAACAAATTTGTGGTAAATCCAATCGATAAGGCAGTAATGATAGCCTTATTCGGGCACACTTACGAGGGCTCAGCAGATTAATTCAACTGGGCACACTTACGACGGCCATGCAGATTGATACGTCTGTATGTGCACTATATACAGATGCCGCTTGATTGGATGTTCTTTTTCACCGTGTAGTTGGTTTCAGCCATACACCCAGTTTTCCGTGGCCGTTCCGTTCGTTAGTGGGAGCTTACCTGCTATCACTTCGCGCAGCGTTCCACCCGCAACGGTCCTGTGTAAACAGGCATGAAATCATATACCGTAAATGTACCGTAATTCGAACCACCGGTATTGCCGGTGCTGCAGTTGTAATTAATTGGGTACCATATTACTCTCATGACAGCAATCCCTTAATAATTTCAGATGTGGCTTCATGTAGCTTACATCAGACAGGTCGGTGACATCGTGACTTAGCACGCGCACGGGCGGCCGGCTAGATGCCCTTCGCTCGGGTGGGGGTCAATTTGAACCCCCTGAGATCTCGGGAACTAAGAAGGCTAGAGACACCAAATTTGCAGGATGTCTTGACCTGTACGTGAACTCACCTAGGTCAAAGTTTAAGCTCCCTAAATCATGACCTTGGGGTCAAATAAGGTCAAACAAGATCAAATTCTAGGTTGGTCACCAAAGTGCCCCCAGAACCTAGGAAACTCTTTCTAAGCAAAAGGTCAAAAGCACATTTGAGGTCAGTGACCTTGTTCAACCCTTTCAAGGTCATGGTGACCAAAATCATGCAAAGCTGCTCTGAGTTTTGCATTTGAATAAGCGACAAAGATTACGCTAGGCAGTTTGTTCATAAAACAAATTATCGACCCGGGTCATCTCAGGTCAATGACCTTTTCTACCTTTAAGAAGTCAGTGGAAGATGCATACTGTGGTTCCTGCTGTCAACAAATTTGAAATGAGCACCACAAACTATCCCATACAGCAAGCCCTAGAGTAAGAAATCAAGTTGGCTGTTTCCTTGGTCTGACCCTCATATCTGACCTCAGGTCAACGAAATTTGCTCATTCAATATTTTTAGCACCTAGGAAAGCATCTCAAAGATGTATGGCTTCGTCAAGCACTTCGTTGTTGTATCAGATTGGACGATTCCCTAGAAACTGCCTTCACTGAAACTATGGCCTGACTTTGACCTGCCATAGGTCAGCGACCTTACAAGATGCATCTAAATTCTTTATTTCAAACGATCCGCTATTCAAATGTCTACAGCTATGCACAACTTGGCGCGGCTACGCCGCGCTGTTCGGAAACCATTTTAAAAAGACCTTGGGGGGGGGGGCAATTTGACCCCCACCCGAGCGCGTGTTAAAACTCCATGAAAATATCACAGCACTCATGTTATGATGAGAGACATTGTCATTCTATCGCCCTATCGCCGTTGTTCAGCGCCTCTTCCAATTCCCGTTTAGGTGACTGTCCATGCTAGTTTGTCCCCAGGGCACATCCGCGCCATGAAAACACTCCGGGGACACCACGCAGGCTGGCAAAATACCAAAAATGTCGAATATTGGATACGAAATATCGAAATACGAAAAACAAAATGCCGAATGAAAACACGAAGAAACGTCTACCGGTTGCGACATTTGTAAGACCAAAACATTGTTTTACAAAACCAAATGCGCGTGCCTTTTAGCTCACATTCCATGCAACCACGGCTTTGTCAGGGGACCTGGTAAAGCCATTAAACGCTGAGTTTTAGAAACACGTAGGGTACTTTTTCATAACTTGCGCATCATATAATATAAGTTGCGGGTGTCGAGGTTATTGGACCAGCGAGACACGCAGAGAGAACACGCGAACCTGTCCAGCGAAGACAGCTCACAAATCCGGGCAAGCGTCCGCACAAACACAGCCATAGCCATCGGGCCCGCGACGCCACATCCCTGAAGGGGGCGCGCCGTGACCGGCCGCCGTCCTGGCGCCGCGAGCACACCGCGCGCCCGAGGGCAGCCCACGCCACTCACCGCGCGGGGTGCCGCTCAGAGGGGCCGGGCGGCCACCGCGGCCGGGGCCCCGGCTGGAGCTGCTGCCAGAGCGCGGCACCGACCTCTGACGGCCGGCCCTCTCGGCCGTCGGGGCCGGTCGCCCGCCGGCGCGCCGTTTTATCGGCCGGCGGCGGCGCCCACTGCCGCGCCCGCCGACGCCGCGCCGCCTGACGGAAGCGTGCGTCCGTGGGGCGGAGTGACCGCGCCAGAGAAGGGGCCGGCGCCAGGGGTAACAAATACCAGGGTGGTGACAGCACCAGAGTATTCACAAAATAAGACAGACCCTACGTCATGACTAGATCACTCTGTATAAACAAAGGACCATGAAACGAATCCGTTCGTTAATGAATATAAGCCCCCGCCGTTCAAAAATACATTGAAAATACGTTGACGCCGCGGAACGGCGACTGAGCGTGTCAGCCTTCTGTCTCTCTTCTCCATTCGCAAGTTAACGAGCCTTCAACAGGTAACTTTCAAGCATTCCGGAGGGTCTAGGTTCATTGCTAATTACTGACTACAAATACCATCTGAGATGTTCCCATGGTCATTACATTTTGAGCTGTCTTCAAGTCGAGCTCATCCTCTGGTGTCATACTCCTGCAGACGTTGAACGAGCGGTGCTATTTTGAGATCAACCTCAGTTCTCCTGGTCAGAACTATCCCCCATGCGCGCTAGAGCCTGTCGCACATCTGATAATGTGGGATACTGAAATCTGCGATTGAAGAGCATGAAACGTACGTCTTGAGTGGCTGTCTTGAGCTCACGACCGGCAGTGTCTGTGGGTGAGACGAGCAGTACCTCACCATGTTATGCTGCGTGTCGATTTGACACTTCATTAGAAGGTCCGGTACACTTCATCCGTTACCTTATTGCCTGGTTGCCTTACCGCCTTATTGCCTGGTTGTGCCTTGTTTGGAAAAGGTCTGATTAAGCTGAAGTGCATAGGTCTCTAGGTGGAGCATTGGAAAGGCTAGGGGCTGAATACGATGTCTCCTGTCATTCTGGTTGACAATCTTATACCAACTGTCTTCCGGCGAAGTCGAGATACTGGATGGATTTTAGTCACGCTGCCAACGCAACTTTCAAATAGTTAATTGCAGGAAACAGGTGCATATAATATGATTTCGCTAAAGCTACGACTTACACATGTTGCTCTCGTTTACTGCCCTAAAGTTACAACGTAAGAATGCTGTTCTTATTTGCCTCGCCTCAGTTACGAAGTAAAAAATGTTGAACTCACTTACTTCAGAAAATTAGGATTTCAAAATTACAAAACTTGAAAACACAAGGACAGAAGTATGCATCTCGAACCGCTTCTTTAGAACAAAGTTATCGCCCATGTAATGAAAAGACGACACACTGATCTTTTACTCGGACCGATCACAGTAAGTGGTAAAATTGACTTTCTCAGCTCCATCTAAGTCCCGTTAATTGTCGTTTCCTCTGAAGGAGCAAAAGCAAGATTTTTTCAGACCTAAAATACGCTTTGTGAGGTTTTAATCTATTTAATCTAATGCATTTAGTCCCGCACCCGGGAGACCGGTTGGATGCCTTGGCTCAGGTGGGGGTAGGGAGCAATTTAACCGCTGAGATCCCAGAAACTGGGAAAGCTTGAGACGCCAAATTCACAAGGTGTATTGATCTGTTTTTTCAATTTTCTTATGTTCCAATTTTAGGTTTCTATACCATGCCCTTCGAATTAAATAGGATCAAACAAACAAAACAGGAAATAACTAAAACTCCAGATTGGTGCTCAAAATGCCCGAAGTCCTTCTCGTGCAATCATCATGAATCCAGATATCTGTTCTATGCAGAATGCTACTGCTACCCATTTAAGGTCAGTGACCTTGTTTAACCTAAAGTAGGTCATGGTTATCAAAGTCATACAAGATTGCTTTGATTTTTGCATTTGAATAAGCGTCAAGGATTACGCCAGTGGGTGTGTTCCTTAAAAACAAAATCTAAACGAGGCTATTTTAGGTCAGTGACCTATCTTGAGCTTTAGGAAGTCTACGGAGGATGTATAACATGAATCCTGCTATCGATACATTCAAAATTCCCGGTTGCCGCATTTGGTCCGCGCCCATTCGCCGGGCGGTAAAATTTCGGGGCACCAGCCAGGTGCCTGTCGGTTGTTAAAGATTGGTCCAAAACTTTGCAATGCATGGATGTCCGGCATCAGAGCCAAGGGACGTCAATTTTTGTAGATGATTGGATAGGGTAGGGACAGCTGAGTATCCACAGAACTTAAGACGTCTCAAATTGGTGTTTTGCGACGGATTTAGCCTATTTTTCTTTGATCAGTGACATATTTTATGTTTAATTATTGTGCCAATTGTCGAATACTGCTCATTTTTGGCAGCACACTGGTCACGGCCGGCAGATATTTCCCAAAGAAGATGGGCATTGTGTGTTAGTCAACTGTTTCCTCCCTTTGTGTAATATTCCAAGCAGAAACACTGGGAAGATCAAGCCCACATTGGGGGGTGGGGACAAACCAACATTTGGGGAGAGACCCCCCCAAAAAAAACGAACAAATCGGCACTCTTGACGGAGCCCACACTAAGTGGTGCTTGTAGAGTGAGCCCAGACCACACCATGCAATGGCGACCAGCCCAGCGGTAAAATGCACTGGTAAAAGTTTAACTTGCTGCAGTGCTCAGCACGATCCTCTTGCCCTCTGACGTCACGTGGCTTTGCGAGTGGCTGCTGCTACCGGCTGAAATCCATCTGACTTAGGGACAGATAGCGAGCGATCAAAGCTGGGTGAATACGTATTTGAAAAAGGACCCGCGCGTACTTTTGAAGCACTTGGCAGCGGTTTTAAAGTTTGTAAGACACCAGCAGGCCATTTTAGGGACATCCAGATAGTTAGCAGTCTCCTGTAAAAAGGCGTCGTAAGGTGACCAGAATCATGGTCACTGAAAAGCTCCCTGTAGAGAAGCCCGTGTGCACTTCGCGATCTCAGAGGACCAGGGCACAAGACAAAAATTTGCGAAATGGTCGACGGTTTGAACAGAATGACGGTGCTCTGAGATGTCGTGGCGATAAGTGTAATTCCTTCTCGCGCATCGCTGATGTATTTGCATGCGTGTCCTGCTGAAACGTCACACTCCGGCGTTGTTATTACGAACCGAATAGCGCACGCAGGATAGGGACTGCCTTCGCCGCGGCCATCGGAAGTCGGGACAGAGACGGACGTGTTGGGCAGCTGCACAAATATGATATAAACGTTTACAAAACAGACCGTTACTTCTCAAAGACAGCACATTTTAGGCGTCTGCTCATGACAGAAGACCACCAAATATTCAAGGACATTCAGCAACTATTGGATGGGTGTGAAACATCAGTTCCATGAATTCAGGTTCCCAGGGACCGCACAGGCCTGCAAAAATTACTCGAGCATTATGCAAGTTATTTTACATGTGCTTGATAGCTGCCCGAAATCGTTTAGTTCTCATGAACCCTCCACCTGATTCAACCTCTCACATCAGACGGACTTATCGAGATCGTTGATGGGAGCCAACTTCTGCTGTTTTCAAACTAAAAAAGTTAGAGTCTCGCGGAAAAGCCCTGGATTGGTCTTAACAGGGTTTCACAATGGCTTGTCAGTTTTGTGTTGCATTGGCAATAAGTGACTCCATTTTTCCATTTTAAAAGCAAATGTTTACTAATTATTAAATTATTTCAGTTTTACACTCCAATGCTCATCAAGCAAGCCTAGTAACAACTTCAACACGCGTACGGGTGGGGCTCAATTTGACCCCTACTGAACGCTTTCCCAGAAGGAATTCCGAACGACTATGCGTTATCAACAAATTAGATATACCTTGTAACGCCGCTGGCCTACGGCAGTCAAAGTTAGGCTATAGATTCAGCGAACAAATTTATAAGGAAACGCTCAATCTGGCGCAACAGCGAAAGCTAGATGAAGCCATACATCTCTTAGATAGTTTCTTAGGCAGCACAACAATTGAATCGACAAATTCTATTGACCTAAGGTCAAGTATGAAGGTCAGACCAAGGTAAACACCATCCTGTTATATTACTGTAGAGTTTGCTGCATGGGGTAACATCTGACGCTCATTTTTACTTTGCTGGTAACAGGAACGGCATTATATATTTTGCATGGACTTCTTAAAGGTTAAAGTGGGGAGGTGATCTAAAATGGCCCAGGTCAACATTTCGTTATTAGGAGCATGCTGCTTGGCGTAATCCTTGAAGTTTATTCGAATGCAAAAATCAAAACAGTTTTGAATGATTTTAGTAGCCATGACCTTCGAAGGGTTGGACAAAGTCACTGACCTTAAATGAGCGTAAGTGAGTGTTTGCTTAGAACAGGCATATAGGTTGACGGTGGTTGTATTAGAAGGTCTTGGGGGCACTTTGGACACCAATCTGGAGATTGACCTTATTTAACCTTATTTGATCCGAAGATCATGGACTAGGAACTGAAATTTTGAAGCAAGGGATTTCACCTTCGGGCCGACACACCTTCTGAATTTGGCGTTTCTAACTCTCTTGGTTTTTGGGTTTTCAGCGGGTTAAATTGATCCCTCCCCCATCCCCACCCCACCCAAGCAAAGAGCATTCAACCGACCGTCCGGGTGCGCGTTAAACTTACACAGACATAATCATCTTTTGATTCTGAGTACATTGACGTGTTGTGTGTTTTGAGCTTGCTCTATGCATTTGATGTAGGGTTTTTAATGTAACAGTGCTCGCCCTCCAGTGAGCTCGGCGTATTCGTTGGTTGCCGCCCCCCGCTTGCTCCGGCCGTTGATCACAGTGCAGTGTTTCTAGAAGAACGTCGCTTCCTGGAAGTCAGAAACGCTAAAGACGCGTTTCTGTGTCGAAACACGCATAACGAATGCCCCAAAGGCCACCAAACATTTGGGTGCAATTATAAGACATACCGGAGAGCTATTTTCAGATATCCTTTAGGAGGTATGTATTGATCCCCTGCCCCATCAAGGTTGGGATTAAGATCCAATTCAAGGCATCTCTAATCCTTTGAAACGTGAACTGCGTAGGTCGTGGCTCATTCATATAGACTCATTTCTCTG